TYCYTYYTTTTCGACAAGACCTCACCTAGATATAGCTTGATTGTGTAGTTTTAATGACCAAATATGGTGTACGCTTACTTTCTTTGTGTGTAAAATAGATCATTTATAGTCATTGCGTGCAACTAGTAGTGTAGCACTCAGAGCTTACCGCACGCTACGAATTGGCTACACTCATCGTACACTTTCCATTCAACTTTGTTTATTGCGCTCTCTTGACTGCGACAAATACTTCAATATTACTTACCAAAGCCCAGACAAAGATCCCAGACATTCCCGCCAATAACAAACAAAATACTACAATAGGCCATACTTGCAGTAATGCGTCAATGATGTGCCTTTTTGCTCTGTTATTGAAGTTAGTCGTATGGACTATAAACGAAAGACCTGGCGARCCTACGATGTTCTTAAATTCATACGAGTTATTTCCAGAATCGGAATCGTTTTCAATATCGCKTTCAAGTTCACCATCTTCGAGTTCTTGTTCCATAAATGGCACTATAGGTAATGCGATATCAGTTGACTTTGACAGCAATGCATCTCGTAAGGCTATCGATGAGTTTACAAGGTTCCATTTCGCTGGTTCCATGTTACACGACCGAAAGCATTTTTTGAGTCCCTGCTCCATGAATTCGTAAGCAATTCCACCGTAACTTGTGGAGTTGTAATAGATAATGTATGGAGGAAGAATAAACGCAGTGATGGTGACAGTACCGTTTGGACAGCAACATGATGGCGGTGATGAGGTTGGAGTAGACGATAATGAAAAGTGAACGTACATGAGACACGTAACTAGCGCTACAAGGATCATATTGCTGGCACACTTAGCTCACTTCATCTGTGCTGAGTTGGCACCTGCTCTTTCCTAAGTCTCCTATGATTAAACAATTAAAACTTTTTTTTTTTCAAAAATCACCGACAAACCCCATTACCGTAGCGTCTTACGGGCCTCTTGGAAAATCTACCATAATCTTTAAATATGTACAAAGTTAAAAGTATCTCCCACTAAATTGTGGTTATCAGTATGTTGATGTTATCAAGTCAAATTACTCATAGTGGCAAAAACTATAGACGAAGTATAGATAGGGTACACTAGAGGGTGATTTATTAATTACTGAACTTCAGTTAACGCCTACCCTATAATATTGACACATCTTCGATAACACCATATCTGATTCGTAAAATTAATTTGAAAAATATTTTCCTCTAATATTATCTCAGATAATAAGATAATAATTAAAATTATTCGATCAGTTCAACTTTACTGGCATATTTTTACTTACTACAAAGGTATTGCTTTTTTGTTGTAGTTAAGTTTCAATTTCAATTAAATACAGTACAGAATCAAGCTCTATAGTCACATACAAGTAATAAACCCTTGCTGAGGTTCAGTTTKAAGTGCCTTGAAAGCTTAAATCCCTCTAGCATATATGACGTGGAGTGCACTTTTCGTTCGACTCTTTGCATATCATTTTACAGTAGAGAAACTCCTACACAAGATCCATACTTGACTGTAAAAAAACGTTTCCATRATCACGCCATCGATAATTAAGATAAGTTCACAGGAATAGTTCCCCAATATCCCGCCTCCAGGGGGGACCTGCTAGAATCCAATATGGCGGCCGTCTTGGGAAAAAAGGTTTTGAGTTTAATCMCTTTTTTTAGCAGGTGAAACCACATGAAAACTAGTCGTAGCTTCGTCCTTTTGGTTAAGATTGAAGTGCATGTTATACAATGAATAATTTATRCTGTAAAACAATCAACATCTCATCTCCATTGTCTTAAAACCTGAAATTTTGCCAGGTGAAATTAAGTTTGAACGTTGCTAGAGAAGCTAGATAACTGCTATGTATAAAATATGGAAAAACACATGCTGAAATTCTATATTCTATATTCTATTCGAAGAGATTTTTGATGAATAGTTAATAGTTTAAATTGTTTGAAAAGTATATCACATAAATATTATGATCCATCGCTAGAGCATTTCAATAACTAAGAAAACAATGTGTTTAGGTTAATACTCTTGTATACTGACCATACCTTTTTGTGAGGTTTTGTAACACTTACTAGCTGTTGGCGATTTTATTTGTAATTAAAGTCAGGAAATACTGATTTCAACCTTGGCTTTCATTTCTGAGGTTGACTTGAATTTCTGAACTCAAGTTACGTAATGAATTTGTTTATAGATACGCGATAAAAGTCACAAAAAAAACGGTCGTTACCGGAAAAAGGTTAAAAATTATTTCAGTTCACCGAGTAAGATATACATAAAAGTTCGTGTGAAAAACCGTCTTTGCCCTTAATTTCGACTTTACGTTTTTTGACCCCCAGAAAAACTGATATATATTTGCAGAATGCAATGAGGAAATCCTCTATTTATACATAGTTCATAGAAGAAGAAAAGTCTTACCTAGTATTTTACCCCGGTAGTTACGGTGCTGCTATGTTATCTGGGATGCAGTAAAGAGGTAATGTGAGTATGATTTATGCTCGCTGCCAATAAACGCTGATTTCTTCTAATGCAGTCATGAATATTAATTTGACTACATGTGTAGCTCAATCAGGCATTGCATTGGTAACTCAATTCCAACTCTTTCTATTTCGAAAAGTCTTCTCAATAGACACAACAAATTTCTATTTAAGACAAAATCGGCAACGYATTGAACGTTGAATTACTATTTGGATGGCTGGGAGGTGTTTTTTTTACATTGTCCCAGTTAGTGGTCCAGTCTTGAAGATTAATTGCACGGACTAACCTAGCATGAATTCAGATAGAATAATATCAAAGGTTTTTCCAGGGTCTGTTATATTTGACAGTAACCCTAATATACTGAAATTAACATTACAGCCGGTTAATTCGTAAGTGAAACTTTCATAAAAATGGAGTTTGTTAATAACTCTGCATAAAAACAATTAACATTCAGTTTGTCTTTTCTTTTGAGCAAAATTGCACTCTCTTTATAACTTCGTGTAAGAGACATAAAGGATACAATAAGCTAGAAATACTGAAAAWAACAAGTCAGTTTGAATTAACTTTTACTTCTGTACCAAGAGAGAATGAGCTAAGAAAACGTATCTCCGGGCCCCCCATGCAGGAGCCCTTATTGTGATATTTTTAGAAACTATTTTTAAGGTTATTATCAATCCCCGCAAGGCTAATGCTTGTTTATTATGGATGCGATGTGAGAAAAACAGAGAACTTTTTTAAAAAAGAGAGYTGTCCTGAATTAAGAAATTTTTCTTCTGACTTCGAAATMAGTCTCAGCAAGGAGTCGCAAATCGACACTTTTTACTCCAGATTGTTACTGAATAGCCTTGAAAATTTGCATATTCCCCGAGTTGAGAGAGACCTAAGACCTATGSTTTGAGCCTTCTGGGAAATACAGGGTTAGCCTCAACTCGGGGAAAATATAAGGAAACTAAAATACTACGTCTGTGGTACGATCTCATCGTTACTATTTGTAACACAAAGGCATCTATTTTAAGGTCAAAATGACTTAAAAAGGCTTATATCAATGTGTATAGTTTATTTGAAGGAAAGAGGTATACATCAATGTCTCGAGACGTGCGCAGATCAGTTCCATTAACAAATACCAACAGCGTTTGTTAAAACAACAATGAAACCCATGAAAATCATACAAGAAAGGAAGTCATGGGGATTGAAACTTAGAACTAGAATTGCAYAAGGAGCAAAGGACAAGGAACGCACGGTGCATTATTGGTGGCTATAATTTGAAACTAATCKAAAAATGCGTTTTTAGCAAGTTTGATGGTCCTTACTTKAGCAAGATATTGTAGACTCTCAAATTCATAACAGGAAAAGAGGACGTTCAATTGGTATCGTTTGAGAGAGGTTATTGTKAAGAACGGAAGGGACCTTKTGTTCTCATCCACTCTAATGTGTCTTAATGGGCTATTCGTAACGTCAAACTCCTTTAATGGTTTGGTGTTATAACAGGCAAATTAGTCATAAATGACAATTAAATGTTTCCTCTTTTTGAAAGAATAGATTGCATAATAATACATCACAAAGACGTATCACACTAACTATCCTAATCGAGGCAGAATTGATAACAAGAAAATTATCCTTATATTGGTAATTTTTTACGACATAAACTGTAGAAAAGAAAAATGACGCACTATGATAACATAACCATGAAAAATCGAAAGATATGCAGTAAGAAATATAATATCATAARAATAGCTAWAATATTAATTGAAATGGAAAACGAGAATTAAAAAATAGCGTTAATGATAATAGCTTGAACAAAATTACTACAAAAATTATAACAAAACCCACACATTTACGGTTGTCATGGTGACAGAATGAAACGTCATGTCATTAAACCTTCGTCTTGGTAGCAACACGATGGCTGCCATAATCGGATTCAATAAAATTTTRTAAATATAAAATTACGTTCTGAACATGATAAATAACGAAATTTTTTGTCTTCAAAAGGTAGAGATTAATGTAAAGTAAATCATGTCATATTATCATTTGCAATAATCATTTATAAGATATTTGTATCTCTACGCCAGTAGCTTCAGTTCAAATTTCCATATCAAAAATACTGTTATTCTAATATTGATGAAACTAGGTATTTATTTAAAGTATTAACTATGATCAACTACGAAGTCAAAAGTAGTGTTACTAAAAATTAAAACTAAAGCAATAGTAAATCGTTTTTTCTGTTCTTTTTATATTTAGAAKGGGATTTATTCCCATATAAATCAAAAATACCAAGAGAATGTCAAATGAGAAATATAAAGAGTTTGGGTTTATTTTTTTTAGGCTTTAGCCCCGTAAAAAGCATTATTCACAATAATGGTCAAAAAATCARTTACAAAGTCTATGGGATATCATGTCGCTGACCTCAACAGACGGAKCTGTACCCTGTTATCAATCGAACARATGGTACTCTTATCCGACTCAGATGTAGAACTTTGTCTTAGTGATCGGGAATTATGTGTCTTTTTGACAACAATTGCATCATTTTTCTAAAATACAAGTTCCGTTTTTGCTTGACATTTGATTGAATCCCTTTACAATGCAGTTCACTTAACAACTTAAAATCGCATCTTACCTCGTGAATGAATCCATGCATGTGGGTTTTTTGCTTGTGTWTCTCGGTATGATTACCAAGACTTCGGCAGTAGCCTTATTGGTAATTTCCACGGTCTATTTCAAAAGGATTTTCCGCCTTAAAAAATAAACAACTTTCGTTTGTTGATGGAAGGAAATAATTAACCCAGCATGTCCTACATGAATTGTATACTGATAAATAGGCTAAATTATCATTAAAACCTATTTCAAAGTCAACTTCAAATCCTACTRGAGCGTACTACTAGATCACTAAGGAAACGGGATTTCTATGGCTACTTGAAGAGGAATTCACGCATTGTCTAATAAAACATAATAATACAAGCAAAACAAAATTAGGTTTGTGTAGTTAAGTTGACTTTCCGTGAGTGTATAGCTCTAATTGAAGGTTTTTTCAAGCGGTAATTCTCACCTTGAGATCGCTGTCCTTTGTGCTCGCTCTTCACTCCCCAGTATTTACAAGTCACAACACAGCTGGGCTTTACTAAATACAAGAACTTGTTCTTTGACAAAGGAGTTTGCAGTGATACATAAATAGATGGATTTTGAAGTAGCATGCAGTTTTTAGAAGAGTAATCATGCCCCCGGCATTTCTTCAAGTCAACATGATAAATTCATTTATCAAGTATTTTTGYCGTAGCAATAAATAAAATTTGCGGTGATTCATTTTGATTTTTCTTGTTTGAGGTTTTCGTTCTCGTTTTCTCTCGGTTTAGTCTATATTTGTGGTGAATTTTCTGGAGTCAAAACAAAACACTCGGATATGCATTTCAAGACGTACTTGTTTAATTTTAAAGGAAAAATAACGAAGTCGGATAAATAATTTTTTTCACTAGGAAAAAGGCACGGATTAGAGTTTTTTTGGCGATCTCTCGGCTTTCCGTGCTTTTTCTCTTCTCTCCTCATTCTAACCAGCTGCCGACTTTTTAAAGTGGTCATCGCCTCATCCATTTATCAGTTTTGCCGTCTTAGACACCAGTATTATTAAATTGTTTGGACTTTAGGCTGGACATGCACTTAGTAGCTCCGTGCACTTTCTGATTTTAAAGATAAACGAAATTCGATGTTTGTGTTGGTAATACTTGTGAATTTATATTTTACTCAAATTGATAAATCAAAACAAACCCACTAAAATGTGGTTTGTGGTCTAGTAAATTTTCGATGGTCTGCTGTCTTATTTTGGTTGTTTTCGACATTCAGTACTTTTTGATCCTTTTTTCTACGTTTGGAAATAAAGATATCGCGGGTGCACGTYCTGCGTTTTGTTCACAGGAAAAAAGGGAATACGTTGTAACACTGTAGATGCAATCGCTGACACAATTCTTGGACCATTCAAGAGAATTTTCGAATTCTTAAGCAACACTAGTAGACAATTTCATCCCCCTGACCCCTAAATGCAATGTTGTCATTGAGCATGTTATGCACTAGTCATATCCCCGCCCTTTGCCCCGCTTCGAAAACAATTCATCAAAATCCCGACCCCCTGGGGCAATCTTGCTGTTAAAACCACGTTAAAAACGCATCACGTCCCCGTTCAGTGCCCCGCTAGCCCCGGGGGGTGGGGGTTTCAATTGACTAGTGCATTACCATAGTACACAAGCATCCAAAACAAGACCCAACATTGATAAAAGGGGGCTAAGGGGAAGAACTGTGAAAAAATAAAGGAGAAAATGTTATAGGCTGGAGACAAATAATTCTATGATTCCAAGATTTTTTGGCAACGATTGTAGGTATTTGAATTGTTTGCAACTGAGAAATTAACGTCTGTTGCTTTTATTTTACAGAACGCTGTATTCCAACAAGGTTAAATGAAAACAAACTAGCTTGGGCCATGATTTGGAGGTCCCGTGGCACTTGGGAAGTCTGTGGTACAACCATTGCATAGGTTAATATGGGTGTTAGCTTGTACAGTTGTATTCATCACACCTTGGGGGTGACTAAATTGGAAAACGCGCGTCATCACCCAATTTCCATTCGACTTGCATAGTGACGTAATTCAGTGCCTTCTTACGAGGTAATAGCCTCAAAAAACTGAGTTACCCATCTCAAACACGAGACGAGTTGAAGCGAACATTTCTTACATTCAGCCATTGGCTGATAAAAAAACGATCGAAAGAGGCGATGTTTTTGCAGTCAACGTAAACGCAGAGGGAAACAATATGATGGAAGAGAGGTTGCATTCAAGACTACCTTGACAGAATGTGACCTACTTGAGCAGTGGATAACAAAAAGAAAATAAGAAAACTTACAGACAGGATGTAAATTCTACATCTTCGATGACAGTGATATGAGGCGCTTTTGTGTATGCTGATGGAGATGCATGTAGATGAATACTTTTCCAGTTCTATATGCAAAGATTTCGTCAAAGGACTTATTCCTTATTTACACAAAGCTCCTGACAAAAGTAGTTCTTCACCGTGATCTCAAACCAGGAAATATCCTTTACTAACTTCATCCAAATCTTTTGCATCAATATTGGTCTGAACAGCCCTGTAGATACTATACTTTGATTACACTCAGATGCTATACGTTCTGACACATACCAGCATTTTGAATCGTCTGATGTTTGCTCGTGTGGACTCTCTCTACATTCTTTTATGCAAAAGCATCCATTCGGTCCAGCGGATTTCACTAACAAAAACAAAGTGATCAATGCATTAAAACAACGTCATGTTACAAAATGGAGGATGAGGATGAAATGTGATCTCCCCGCAGCCCATGACACACTTCATTGAAGACATGCTCCAACTAGGACAGCAGCAGCTGGTACATGTCGTCGTTTCGTTTGGACCAAGAATAACACTAACAAGATGGTGTCTATAAATGCTGTTGGTAATCAGAGCGAGTTTCATAAATGGGACAGCAGAGAAGAAAGCAAGGATCATGTATAATGATGGTATGTGTTATGTTGATTTTTCTTGTGTACACTAA